AAATAACAATACATGTATCAAAAAGATCTATCTAAGCTAGCTAGCTAACCTAAAATAGAATCTACCGTCTCCCCACCCCCACCGTACGGCAGGGGAAGGAGAGAGGATTTTTTCAGTCCAAAAAACATCGCTAAAATACAATCCAAGAATGGTACGGGACAGTCCCCCGACTCATTCATAAAAAAAACATCAAAACCCAAGTCCGAACCAATGAAGGCCCATCATTGGGAAAATCCAGCAAAAACAAATCATCAATTGTGACATCCAAGCTTCCTAGCTTTTGGGCCAGCGAAGGCCCATCTGCTTCTCAACATCAAATAGCATCAGTAACTCCAGAATTCGTCCTGGGCCGCAGGCCTGAGGAAGCCCATCCCAGTTAATCACCCTAGAAAACCTGCAGCCAAATAAATCAGCGCCTCCTGCACCAAGGTCAAAGCCATGCAGGCCCATTTCAGCCGGATCCAGAGTCCAGCAGCGCAGCCCACCATGAAGCCCAGATTGGCCGAAACCCTAGGATCAGCCCAACTCCCTTCTCTTCCATTGCGCCGCATGAGGCTAAGCGCCAAAAACGAAAATTCAAAGCAGATGTGACAGGCTGTACAATCGTACGCTGTCCATCTGTCAGTCACCCCCCCCCCCCCCGTTGCAGCGATACCATCTGGCTCCGGCGACACCCAGGTTTTCCGGTGACCAGCAAACGGAGGAGAAAACACCAAAACCGGAACAGACCCTTCGTATCCTCCCCCACCCCGCCTGGTCCCGGCGTCTCCCCGGCGGTCAGGCAAGAGAGGAAGAAAGGCAGACAACCAGCCAGAGAAGAATAAAGCCAAACCTGAGTTCCCCCACCCACCTCCCACCCCCATTGGACCCCGGCGGCCTCCAACGACAATAGTAGAAGGCTTCGGAGAGGTATGATAGTAGCCGGAAACCCTTCTCAAAATCGCCCATCACCCCACCAAGTTCCGGCATCCCTGTAGCAGTCCGGTGGAAAAAGAGAAAGGCAAAAACAAACCAAGCTGGAAAAGCACCAAACCCAGTTCGTCGCCTTCCAGGGGCTCCATTGCGCATCAGACCACCGCCATCACCTTTCCGTCACCAAGTCTTCTCCCCCGCGGCCGGCATCAGTGACAGTTATGCATCCAGCACGCCCGGTCGTCCCTTCCGGCTACAACCAGAAAATTTCCCAACTAACAGCAAACGTGAGCAGTACGGTCCGCAGGATTGAAATAGCACCTTCCAACTCCCAAGCCATCAGATTTGGATCTTTCACTTCCGTCACAAGCCCCCCCCAGCTCAAAACCTGTACCCAGAGCTACTGACCGCCATTTCCGGCGGTGCTAGGAATTTCCGGCGACATTCAGCCTTTGGAGAACAGACTCCTATTCACTCAAGAGCCAAAATCAACCATTTCCGGCGGTGCTAACCAAGATTTTTTCAAAATTTCGTATTGAAGCATCAAGAAACCCAGCCCACCGGAGCCAGGAGAGCCCCGGCGGCGGCGGCCACCGTGGGTGGCGGCACCGAGAGGAGGGGGAAGAGAGAGCAACCTAGGATCGAATTCCTAGTGAGAGACGCTCTCAACTCTCTCTATAACCCACCTTATCTTATCTTACCGAGTTCTAAAACTTATCTTCAGGCGCTGGTTTCAAAATATCAAGATATGTTTGCCTAATTACTAAAATACACTGTATTTACGCTAAAAATGCTCTATTTAAGCTGAAAATGCTAAATCGTAGAGATAGGGCTAAGTATTTGTGACACTCATATCTTGCCGTGTGTTCTTCCGTTTTGAGCGTATTTGATGGATAGTGTACCCGGGGGGTAGCTTATCCGGGGGGTTATTACGGGGAATAATAAGAGAGAAGTCAGAGCATGTATAGAGAGATAAAGTGTATTGTAAAGTGTGGAGCGTTTTCAGCGTGGTTACAAATGGGGAAATGGGGTGCTATTTATAGTAGCAATAAATGCCGGACAGGGACACGTGTCAAGCGTCCATTGGCCGAGAGGTCACCTCAACTGGTTGGCGCTGGCAACCGCATGTGGCCGCATTTAATGCGGCTGTTGGATGGGACGTTGTACTTGGTACGGTGACCCAGATGCGCGTGGAGGGAAGATCCTGTCGAGTGAGGTGCCTTCGGCCGCATAGTAGTTGCCGAAGGCTCTCTGTTGCCGAGGGCACACTAGTGCCGAGGGCTACTGTTTTTTGCCGTTTTCTCCCAGTTTCTTAGTTTGCTTGAAAAACCCGTTCTGTGAGAGATTTGAGCCTTCGGCCAGGGGGCCGAAGGCTCCCCAGTGTGCGCTGTGGGCTGCTTAAGTGCTTAGGGCGCCGTAATTTGGGCCTGCTGTGCTTCTTGGGCCGGTTGGGCCTTTATTGGTGTAGTAGGAGTCTGTGGGCCGGGGGTTCCCGGGCCATATACTCCATCAGAAGTCCCTCACTCCTTTTGTCGAAAGGTACTTGAGGGAAAAGGAGTAATTTGTGCTTGCCCTTTGATGTTGTCCCGTTGTAATCTCTGAAGTTGGTGAGGATTTGTTGCTTGCATGTCCCTGCCGAAGGCAGTCCCTCAGTTACCCACATGTCGGGACTTGAGGGATTGCTTTGTCGTTTGTTGGAATTTTTCACCATTTTGTAATTTAATGATTTTCCCGAAGGGGTTCTCCAGTCCCCCACTCCTTGAGGCACTTGTAAAGTGGTGAAAAAGGAGTAGAGTAGTTGTGTTGTTGTTTTGGGCCGAAGGCTGACGCTTTTCGTTTCATTTTGGGGGGATGCCTCGTTAAAAACCTCATTAGGAAAAACCCTGTGGGAAAAAATCCTAATGAGGGAAAAAGAGTGCACCGAATTCCCCCTACGATGAATCGGAAATGCCGAAGGCTCTCCTCATTCTGAGGGCTCATGTGTTGATTAGCCAGAGGCTTGTTGTTGATGTCCTGGGAGGTGCCGAAGGGGAGTCCCTCAATCTGGGGATCGAGGGCGTAATGAATGCGGGTAGCAGTCGAGTTGTTACCGGGGGTCCCCTGTTTGTTGATTAGTTGGTGATGAGGATATCCGAGGGCTCCCATTACCTGTGTGCCGTAGGCTATCCGTCAATGAGGCATACTCCCCGGGGGCTACCCGGCCCTTACAGTGCTGAGGAGGGATCCCCGAGGGGTGTCCTGATATGAAGCCTTGGGCTTCTGAAGGAGTGATCCCGAAGGCGTCTGTTGTGTACTGTGTGGGGCACAACCCGGGAGCGTCTCTGGGTAAGTGTTCCCGCAGGCTTTCCCTGATGAAGTGGAGTGAAGTAAAAAAAAACGGGGGCTCCCAGAATATAGCCGTTGGAAATATAGCCGTTGGAATATGTAACGTCAGGATATAGCCGTTGGGGGGGTGCCACGTGGTGCGTGCCCGTTGGCTGCCCGTGGGCGGGCGTCACCGATTGGGGGAAACCTCGGTCGGTAATGATGGCGATCCAACCGGAGGCCCGGTTTCCAGGCCCAAGCCCGGATTCCAGCGCCTATAAATACCCCATGGCCAGGGCCATTCTCCGCTATGCGATCTCAGTGTAGCGAAGCTCTGGCAAAAATTTTCTAGAGAGAGAAACTTGCCTTCGGTTGAATCCTCAGTTCTCAAGGTCAGTTCCCCCCTGCTCTTCTCCTTCTAGTTAGCTGTGCCTTGTGCCCTTAGGTTAGGAGATAGAATTTTCTAGAAAACCCTAGTTCTTCCGAGCCCTCGAGCTAGTGAGTAGATGTCTTCTCAGAGCGATTCTCAGGACATCTCGGGGGACCCTTCGGTCGAGATGGAGACGTGCTCAGATGTCGAGTCCTCGAGCGTGGAGTCCTCGGTGGGTGGTGATGCTGCAGTGGCCATGGAAGTGGACAAAGACCTCCAGGCCGAAGTCGAAGCCGAAGGCTTCGAGCAAGAAAACGAGGACGAAGAGCTTGCCCTCGCCGTGCAAACTGCCGAAGAAGAAGAGGAGAGGGAGAGGATGAAGGTGACGATCGCCATTCTCCCCCCTCGTGGCGCCGGGGAAGCCAGCTCCTCCCGGCCATTGGACCCAACGCCCATCAGTGTAGCTCCCGGGAAGAAAAAGAAGATGAAGGCGGCCCCGAGGAAGAAACAAGCGGCTGTTGACGCCGGCCGGCCGGTAGGCATACCCGAGGGCCACTCGTTCCTGAACACCGCCGCCCTGGAGCTGAAGACGAGGGCGTCCCCGGCAGAGTACCAGGCCACTCAGATGTTGGTTGGACCTTCGGCGCGCATGGTGGAGCCCAGGGCAGATGATCTATTGAGGTATGCGCCCGAAGGGTGTTTTGCTGTCCACACCCTCTCGGTGGAGATGGGGCTTCGCTTTCCGCTCCATCCCTTCCTGCTGGAGTATTTGAGGTTCGTGGGGTTGGCCCCCTGCCAGCTAACGCCCAACAGCCACTCTTACGTGGCCGGCTTCCTTTCCCTGTGCCAGAGCCGGGGGGTTGAACCTACCCTCGACCAGTTTTTCATGTCTTTCAATCTATGCCGGGGGGCACTCAAATGCCGAGGGATTTGCCAACCTTCAGCAGGTACCGGAGTTCAGGCTCTTTGACGACGTGCCCTCGTCCCACAAGGGGTGGAAGGAGAGATTCTGCTACATTCGTCTCGAGGAGAACCCCTTCCCGGCCCAGCTCCGCAACAGCTTCCGGCGCCACCCGAAGGTAGGGAGCGCAGCTCTGGAGAAGAATGGCAAAGTGCTTGCCAAGAAACCGGAGGGGTCGGATAAGCACGTCAAGATTAAGGACATCACCCTCCCCGAGGAATTGCTTAGCCTTGGCTTCCGGCAGTTCCGGCCGAGGGGTTCTTCGGATGAAAGATACCCTCCACTCGATCGAGTCTTTGAAGGAGTCGGAGGTGATTATCGAAGGGCTCATTTGTACCTTCATAGTTTCCCTTCACACACTTCTGTTTTCTTTTTACTCTATGCTGTTGCAACTAACACCCTTCGGTTTAACCTTCTGTGTTTTTTTTTTGTCTTGCAGGTAATAACATGGACGTAGGCTCTCTTTTTGCCTTGAAGAACACGAAGGGGAAGAAGAAGGCCCCGACGGGCACTTCTGGCAGGGAGGGGCCTTCCCAAGCTGCTGCCGCCGCTGCTGGCGCCGGAGGGTCCAAAGGTGTCGGGCCCGCGAAGAAGAAGAATGTCGGCAAGGGGACCGAGCCCCCAGCAAAGAAGGTGAAGACTGTCACCCCCCGCCAAGCAGCCGACCACCGATGTGGTGGTGATTGTGGATGAAGGGCACGCCTCTGCCCCCACCTCCCAGGAACACATCAACCAGGAGTTTTTCGGGCGGGAGAAGCTGGAGGCGCTAGTGCCGAAGGGAGCTTCAGTATTGGAGGGCAGCCTGAACCCTTTGGCACTGATATGCCAGATGCTGCCGTCGGCTGACCGGTTGGCCCTTGCCAGGTTGGACGAGGGATCCCTCGAGGCGAAGGTCCTTCTGGACGCTGCCTTCGTAAGTCATACCCATCCTTTCCTTGTTCGCTATTGTGCTTTTTTTTGTAATGTGTTCATCGTGCCTTATTCTTCGCCTTTGTGAATTGCAAAGCTTTATGGGCCTCTGCGAGCACCTCCGGAGGGTGGAACAAATGAGGGAGGCCAAGGGCGCAGCCGAGGGGGAGGCCGCCCTTCTCAGGAAGAAACTCGTTGAGGCTGAGGACTCTCTTCGCCTGGCTACCGACGGCATGGAGCAGCGGTTGCAAGCTGCGAGGGCCGAAGGGGTGAACGAGGGCCTGGCCAGGGCCGGGGAGGCAGCTGCCGAGGCCGCCCGCGTTGCTGCCAATGAAGCCCGCGCAGCTCAAGAAGAGGCCGTCTCAAAAGCCCGAGAGGATGCGGTGGCCAGCTTTATTGTCGAGGGATGGAAGGCTGAAGACCGGAGGGAGTGGCTTACTTCGGTGGTGGGGGCTTCGGTGGACGAATGGGTCAGAGGCCCCGACAAGATGTGGCTCGCTGAGAGTGGCGACTCGTACTACCAAGGCGGGGAGTTCTTCACCCAGCCCCTTATCTACCGGAAGCTTGCGAGGCACTTCCAGATTGCACCGGAGGAATTCCATCCAGAGGCTTATGGCCTCCCCCCTCGCCAACCAGACATCAGGATCCCGCTCCCCGAGGGGGAAGAGAGGCCAGTGCTCGAAGATCCAGAGACCCTCCGGGAGTGCGGCCTCGGGGGCGATGAGGATGAGGCCGAGAGTGAGGCAGTTTCTACAGCTCCCCCTTCCTGAAATGTATTCCCCCGTTTTGTAATCATACTTTGTGTAATTGTTGGCTTCAACCCTTTTTGTAACGTACATTTAAACTTCCCTTCATCGAATGAATGAGTACATATGCCTTCGGGCTTCTGATACATAACATGCTTCTGTTTAATTCGTTTCTTCTCGAATGTATGCCATCGTTTTCTTTTGAATGTATGCCCTCGCCCGTCTTTGAATGTATGTTTAGGACTTAGAATATTTTCTTCCAAGTACGGTGCTTCTTGTGGCCCTCGGCTACCAGTAACCTTTAGTTACTTTAACGTTTTACCGAGGGCACAATGTTCTGGACTTAGAAATATTCCTAAGTGTTTGTTCATCTGTTGGCCCCCGGCTGATCCTCCCTTCTGGTTCCGTGTAGCCTTCGTGCGATGGCCGAAGGTGAGGTGCTTAGGACTTAGAGAATTCTTCTAAGTGTTTGAATACAGTCATAACCTTCGGTAGTTGGGCACCTTTTGCTAGATGTATGACCGGGGCCCCAGCAATAGTTAGGACCTAGGAATTTTTTCTAAGTGTAGTCTTACCAAGCCTTCAATCGTGTGACCCCTCGGGTTGCAGGGAGATTCGGGACTTAGAAACTTGTCACCGAGGGTAAGATCTTTTGGGACTTAGAAAATTTTCTAAGTGTAGCATGTATGTAGTAGGAGCCCTCGGTCAGCATGGAGATTTGACCGAGGGTCAAAGTGTGTAGGACTTAGAAAAATTTTCTAAGTATAGCTTCACCAAGTCTTCAACCGCATGGCCCCTCGGGCAGTATGGAGATTTGACCGAGGGTCAAAATATGTAGGACTTAGAAAAATTTTCTAAGTGTAGTATGCGTGAAGTAGGAGCCCTCGGATGACTGTGAGGACAGTGTTTGGGGTATGCCCTCGGCTGGCTGGTGGCTCCACAAGGGGCAAAGTTTTTAGGACTTAGATTATTTTCTAAGTATTTCCTGCTGCTGGCCTTCGGGTGGAGGACCCTTCGGTTGTAGGCACTGTATGTTTAGGATAGTTTCCTTTGCCTTGTGATGTTGGCCTGTGGCAATAAAAGCCTTCGGTTGTTTGTCATATGGTGCCCTTCGGGGATTTTTTTTAGAACATTGTGCCTTCGGTTTTAGGTATAGCCGGAGGCAATCCTTGAGTGGACTTAGCCATTTGTTGATGATGTCTGTTGTGAACGGTATCCTTTGTACTTGTGAACTTCCAAGGTGCCGAAGGTGTTCCCGTGGGGAGCCCTCGGTATGTTTTTGTAAATTGTTGGAGTGGTGTACTCATTGATTTGTCGCCGAGTCTACTCCCCTTCACCACCTTTTTTTTAAGTAGTGAAGGGAAGGCTTCAAGAAACTTGGTTTCTTGGTAAGGCTTGGCCTATCGGGAGGTAACAGAATACACCATTAGCTCCCCCCTCGGGTTAACCTTCCGAGTTCCGAGGGGATCGAGGGTCGTTTCCTGGGTACAAGATATGGTGGTCTGTAGCCTGCCTCCCCTTGGGGGATGGCGCGGAAAGCGCCTCATTTTTTAAAGTCGTCCACTCGGCGCTAGACATAGTCCGTGGCCTGCCACACCCTTGGGGTGGTGGCACGGGGAGCGTTTCGGTTTGGAAGTCGAATCCTGGGCATTTCTCGTGCCTGTCATACCCTTGGGGTGATGACGCGGAAAGCGTTCTGTTTTGAAAGTCGAATCCTGGGCATTTCTCATGCCTGTCATACCCCTGGGGTGATGACGCGGAAAGCGTTTCAGGGAAGGGTTTTCATTTGCACACTAGTTGCAAATGGCCGGGTGCACTACGTGCTGCCGGCACCGATAGGTGGCGCCTTCGGTATAGGCGACCTCGAGGGGTACGGCTTAGAAACAACACTTGGTGTTTGTTCCGATGTATGGCCCCCGGCACTTGGTACCGAGGGGTCTTCTGTAAAAACACTTGGTGTTTTTCCTCCACTTGTCGTAGGGGATTGCGGTGTCTACCCTTGGTACTTGGTACTGAGGGGTCTTCTGTGAAAACACTTGGTGTTTCCTCCCATTTGTTGAAGGTGATTGTCTTGTCTACCCTCGGTATTGGGTACCGAGGGGTCTCCTGTGGGAACACTTGGTGTTTCCTCCCATTGGTGGAGAGTTGATAAAGGTGTACCCCCGGCACCAAGTGATAGTATTGTCTACCCTCGGTACTTGGTGTCGAGGGTTCTTCTATTGTGGTGAGGCCTTGGGCCTGGGGGTGGTATGAGGGCTTGGCCCTTGTGATAATCTCGTTCCGGGTTCCCGGTGTCTTCAAAATGCCTTCATTCTTCAGAATTCTTTAGGCCTTGGGCCGTAAAATAATACATTCACTAGTTATGAGGGCTTGGCCGCTCTGATGCTATTGATAAAATTTAACTAAGTGATGTACATTCCAGTGCCTAGGGACTTCGGTCCCGTTAGGGCGTTTTAGTTTGTAAGTTCCTGGTTTGATGATGGCTTCCACGATGTAGGGGCCTTCGAATTTTGGTGCCATCTTTCGACCCTCGGTTGGTTGGCTAGCTTCCCTTCTTCGGAGGACATAGTCCCCCACTTGGAATTCCCGGGAGCGAACCTTGGCGTCGATGTAGCTCTTCACCTGCCTTCGGTAGTTCTCCGCGCGTATGAAGGCTTGCTCCCGTCGTTCCGAAATAAGGTGGAGATCGAGGGCCATATTAGTGTCGTTGGCCTCCGGATCATACTGTGTGACCCTTCGGGTTGGGAGAGTCACCTCAGTGGGGGCTTTGGCTTCAAATCCGTAGCAAAGGGAGAAGGGTGTCTCGCCAGTTGCCCGCCGAGGGGTGGTACGGTAGGCCCATAAGATGTTATGGAGTTCTTCCACCCAACCACCTCCTTCGGCCTCCAGCTTCTTCTTTAGGCCTCAAGCAGGGTCCTGTTGGCGTTCTCCACTTGACCGTTGTCGTGGGGGTAAGCAACGGATGAAAAGGTGTGTTTGATGCCCCATGCCTCTAGGAGGGCACAGAAGGGGGCTGCCTCAAACTGAGTCCCGTTGTCGGAGATGATTTGCTGAGGGACGCCAAACCTGGTGAGGATGTTCTTGAGAACAAAGTGACGGCACCTGGCCTCAGTAATGCTGGCGAGGGGCTCAGCCTCCACCCATTTGATGAAGTAATCGATGGCGACAATGATGTACCTGTTGTTGGAGGTACCCCTCGGCAGAGGGCCCACAAGGTCTATGCCCCATCGAGTGAAGGGTATGGATGTGCTGATGGGGGCATAGTTGACCGCTGGCCTGCCGGGGGCTTTCTGGAAGTGTTGGCATGCGGGAAACCTCCGGGCAAGGTCCGCACAATCCCGGGCCATCGTAGGCCAGAAGTAGCCCTAGATTATCAGCCTCCGGGACATGGAGAAGGGTCCCTGGTGAGCTGAGCAAGTGCCGCTGTGTACTTCCTCCATTGCTACTTCGGCTTCATCTTGATGAAGGCACCGAAGCAACGTCCCGTTGTAGGACCTTTTGTAAAGCCTCCCGTCCTCGATAGTGTAGCTGGGAGCCCTCAACTTTGCCAGTTTGGCGCGGGCCTCGTCCTCGGGCAGTTGCCCTGTGGTGATGAAGGCAATAATGTTCGAGACCCAGTCCTCCTGTCTTTGCTGTATATTCATGACGGGGCTAGCATGTATGCTGGAGAGGCTGAGTTCTTCCACTTTGGCAATCTTGGAGATGTGCCCAGGGGATTCTGCCGAGAGCTTTGATAAAATGTCGGCCTCGGAGTTTTGAGCCCTCGGTATTTGAGTAAGAGAGTGTGCCTCAAATACCTTAAGAAACTCCTTGGCCACCTCCTTGTATTGCTTCATTCTTCCTTCCTTGGCCTCGTACTCCCCGGAGATTTGTCCGACGACTAACTTGGAGTCGCATTTGACGTGGATTTGTCGGGCCTTCATGTTAGCTGCCAGCCGAAGGCCACAGAGGAGGGCTTCGTATTCGGCTTCATTGTTGGAGACTTTGAAGGAGAAACGGACTGCATAATAGGCCCGGAAGCCTTCGGGTGAGATGAGAACCACCCCTCCTCCGCATGCCTTGATGGCGGAGGAGCCGTCAGTGTAAAGGGTCCATCAGTCATCTGAGGGGGCCGAGGGCTCCTCGTCCGTGGCTGCCCTTGCCGTGCACTCCGTCACGAAGTCCGCTAGGGCTTGGCCCTTGATGGCGGGCCTAGGACGGATGTCGATGTTGTATTGGCTCAAGAAGACAGCCCATTTTACCATTCGGGAGGAGCTAGTGGGGCTCCTCATCAAGGCGCCGAGGGGTTGGTGAGTGAGGACCTGGACCGGGTGAGCCTGGAAGTAATGGCCCAACTTCTTGACGGTCCACACGATAGCCAACACCGTTTTTTCCACGGGGGAGTACCGGAGCTCCACCTCCCTGAGGGTCTTGCTAACATAGAAGATGGCATGTTGGATACCATCCTCTTCCCGGATGAGTACAGAGCTGATGGCAGCCGGGCTAACACCCAAGTAGAGGTACATGATTTCCCCTACCTTGGGTTTAGAGAGCACAGGGGGTGAAGATAAGTATCGTTTCAGCTCCTCGAATGCCTCCTGGCATTCTGAAGTCCATTGAAAGCCAACCGTCTTCCTCATGATCGGGAAGAAGGGTAAAGACTTCTCCGCTTATTTAGATAGAAAGCGGTTGAGGGCTGCCAGGCGGCC